ATAAAACTAAAAAAAAAAAGACCGTACCCTTTTATGTAATGATGTTTACTTTGAATTTATATTAGTTCACACGAACACTCCATCCATGCTTTTGTTCCGGCCCTCTGGTCCAGTTTAAGAACCCATTGTGGCCCTCGAGTCAAAAAGTTTGCCCACCCCTGGGCTAGAGACATAAAGATCAATAGCTGCCAGACCAGGAGTGTAAAGACTGAGGTCTCCCTATCTTCTGCCCCTTCCTCTTTGAGTACCCAAGTGACCTTTCACAGAACCAAATGTATTTTATTATTAGTTCTCACAAGTGGGTAAGTGTTCTCAATTTAACTCTTAAAAATGTAAAAATTACTCAAGTTCCTTTTTTCTCAGTAGTAGAACTCTCATTTAATTCTCCTTTTCCTTCTGTGAACCAGAAGCTTGCTATTAAGAGAATGGTTCCTATATTCATTACACTTATAGTATTTGCACATCTCTGTACTCACAGACTTTTACATGTTAATGTCCCGTGGTTTCTACTTCACAGCTCGAAAGCGTTCATTGTTAACTAACCCTGAGAGGGAATGTCCTGAAATGCTTCCTGCTGACATCACAGAACTCTGCAATCTTTGAGTTTTGTTAAAATTATGGTAAGATCCAGGTTAGAGATACCCTACTGGACTGTCAGGTCCCTGGTTTGTCTCTCATTTGCCTACAAAGACAAACTTCCTGTTAGGCAACTGTGATTAGCAGAAACTTAACTGAGGGGAACAAGCACATTCTTGACCAACAGGTTTTCCCCCTTTGTCAACTAATTCAATGAACAACTCAAATGCAACTCAGGAGGAAATCTTCTATGAAACTCACTGCTTAGTCTGTTAAAGGTCAAATCATCAGCTTTGCTAAAACAAGAATCAAAAATCCTAAACCATTCAAACGTAAATCACAATGTTCGATGTCAATGTGACTAATCACCAGTCTCTTTCTACCTGAAAACCCCAACAGGATTTCTCTGAAGTTAGAGTGCAGGTCTAATTGTGTCTAAGTGGTAGTTCTTAGTCATTTTAACAGTACTTCCCAGATTTCCAAGATAATACTGATTCTGTATGATTTCATCATTTTCCCCAAAAATGGCTAAAAACAACTGAATTTTAGGCCTCTGTAAAGCTTCACAAATAAATAGATGCACAACTCGGGGGGAGGGGGTGCAAACCTCTTCACACCAACTACCTTGACTGTCCTTCACAAAATACAGTCCCTGTACTTACCTGTGGGGGTGTTAGTATGGCAGGCAGGTGCTGAGACAAGCCTCACATACGTATCTCATACAATCCTCCCAGTAAGTCGAAACAATACCTACATTTTCTTATTCTTCCAGATAATAAATTCACACCACAGAAAGGTTAACTTTCTTCAGGTCACACAGCTGGCAAGAGACAGAGCCAGGCTAGAAATCAGGTGTCACTCTCAAGCCCACACCCTTTCTGCTACAGCATGCTTCCCTAAGGTCACAGAACCCTCAGAACTTATCGACTGGCGAGTTCACGTCAACAGATAAGAGAGGAATCTGGGTTTCCTCAATACTCTATCAACCACACTCGGGATGTGCAGATATCAATGTGTATCTGTGTCAAGTTCTGTAAATATGGTGAAAATGTCTATGGATGTCTGTGACACACCACCCTCCTCTTCCCTCTATTCATCTCCACCCTTGGCTTAAGGTTATCAAACGTGACACACCACCCTCCTCTTCCCCTTACGTCTTTTCTCCTCTATTCATCTCCACCCTTGGCTTAAGGTTATCAAAAGGAAATCTTAAAAAGGTTTCACAACAGGAAGAAAACAAACAAAAACCTAACCTTGCCGTAGCTCAGTGGTTGAGTGTCGACCTATTAAGCAGGAGGTCAGGACACATGCCCAGGCTGCAGGCTCGATCCCCAGTGTGGGGCATGCAGGAGGCAGCCAATCAATGATTCTCTCTCATCATTGATGTTTCTCTCTCTCTCCCTCTCCCTTCCTCTCTGAAATCAATAGAAATATATTTTTTAAAAACACACCTAACAATTTAAATTAAAAAACATCTACACGCCTAAGTTCTAAGCATTATGAAGTATTCAAAGGACAGTAAGACAGAGCCACTGAACAAGATCACAGGCTTTTATAATAAACAGGAAGGTATGGTTAAGTATTTTAAGCATTAGGAACAGATTATTATGAGAATTAGTGATATAGGTGAGAATTTTCAGAAAAGAGGATGGTTAAGATATAGGCAGACAGCAATAATGCATGTAAACAATCAACCAAAAAATTCAATGTAACATTTACCAAACACCTACTACAAGAAGGCACTGTGAGGAGTTTGTTTATCATTTAATAGAGAACACAAACAGGAAACTAGAATACAAGCCCGGAATATGTGAAGCGCCACAAAATAAATGCAAAAAGCCAGAATTTATTCATTTCATTTAATAATGACTATCATGTAGGCCAGTGGTCGCCAACTGGTGGTCCGTGAGGTCCGAAAGGCTGGCGACAGCTGATGTAAGCAGTGCTATAGGTAAGAAACCAGTGGTATCTGCCACCATAAGATACATTGACATCAGAGGTGACATCTAGATTGTTTTGAAGGGACAGGACTTCATTAGCTTGGGTAAAAGAGAGGATTGCTGAAATCTGACCTAAGCCAGTTTAGCCAGAGAGCCAGTTATTAGGTCCTTCCCATGACATTAGCCTTCAATACAAGGGCGTAGGTCAGTTCACATTGGTGCTCACAAAGGAAACAGTATGAGCACAATCAGAACCCGGGTCCTTCATGCTTTGGCTGGAAAACGGTCTGAGGGACGTGGGAAGAAAAGCCAGGAGGGAGGCTGGAACTGGAATTAATAGGACTTGAAATGCTTGCTTTCCCTTAAAAGTGTAAATATCACCAGATGGAACTCAGGATCCCAGACACCTCCCAGCACAGAAAGTTTGTTTCTAGAATTCATAGAATCAAACAGCACGACTGAGAGGGACATATGTGCTCTTCTGTGAGCCTATGTAATGGGCTCCTGTGCCAACTCTCTCAATTTTCAGGGTACAGCATCAGGGGTCAAGAGTGCCAAGACTTGTGTGCTGGGTCAGGGTTTGTTTGTTTTTTTGTCAAATCTGAAAGGACATGTTACCTACTTCAAAATCAGGGGCAAAAAATAATATATGTGAGCCACAGCCTCTTGAGGCAGGTCAATGAGGCCTATGAATATGTATATTGTTTATTTCATTTGAACCCCACTTAAACATTACTTTGTCTATTTACTCTGCATTTGGAAAATCAGCACACAGCCAGACTCAGGATCCAGTTTCTTAAAGGAGTTACTAAACAACCCACTTACTCTACTTAGAAAGCCAATGACAGGAAGGGAGAAAATCCAAAAAGAAAAAAAAAGGAAATGCTCCGAAATCCTCACGTGTTTCTTCCACCTCCATGGCCTTGTGGCCCTTCTTCCACAGCTCTAAAAAAGCATCGATATCACACCGCTGCATTTTACTTATATTACTATATTCAAGAGAGAACAAGGAATGGCTCACTTAAGGTCACTTAGCAAAGAGGGGAACCATTCAACAGCTAACAAGCGAGTACAAACTGCCCGTTACTGATGTAAAGGTTGGGGAAGGGATGAGTTCACACCCACAGAGGAGGCAGAATTATCTTCCTAATCTTTTAGCATCAACTTCTGCCATCTTCTAACAGAAGATTATCCACCTTTCTCTTCCAGTTAGCAGCTCTGTGAGTGCTTTCTAGTAATGAGGGCTTCATATCCTAACTCAGGTGCTAATAAATATCATGTGATACATCTGCACAACTCTCAATTTTTCCAGGGAAATCCACTGCACTAGACATAGCCCCGTGAATTTGGTTTATTTTAAAATGGTTACTATTTTTCTACCTCATCCTATATAATAAAACCCTAATATGCAAATCGACCAAACGGCAGAATGACCGGTCGCTATGACGCGCATTGACCACCGGGGGGCAGACGCTCAACGCAGAAGCTTCCCCCTGGTGGTCAGTGTGCTCCCACAGGGGGAGCGCCACTGCAGGCAGGCAGTAAGGAGCAAGGGGTTCTGGACTGCAAGAGCCCCAGACTGCAAGAGGGATGTCTGACTGCTGGCTTAGGCCCGATCCCTGGCAGGCAGGTGGACATCCCTCAAGGGGTCCTGGACTGTGAGAGGGTGCAGGCCAGGCTGAGGGACCCCCTTCCCGCCCCAGTGCATGAATGTGGTGCACCTGGCCTCTAGTCCTATATGATAAAAGCATAATATGCAAATTGTCCCCTCGACTAGGAGTTCGTCTGGGAGTTCAACCAGGGGGCAGAGCCAGCCGGGGAAAGGGAGGGAGGCCCTGGTCGGCAGCCACTAGGGACCCTACCAGTGCACAAATTTCGTGCATTGGGCCTCTAGTTAATAATAATAAAGCTGATTTTACCAAATCCAGAAGTTTGAAAAACAGTCCCATAAACAAGGTGTAGTATTGGGCCAATATAAGGTCATAAAAGTTATTAGGTAGCTAAATTATTCACCATCAGCAATTGTAAATATAATTGTCACAATCAAGAGTATATAGTTGAGCCCTGGCTGGTGTGGCTCAGTTGGTTGAGGGCCATCCCATGCACCAAAAGGTCTCCGGTTCCATTACCATCAAGACACATGCCTGGGTTGCAGGCTCAATCTCCACTAGGGGGTGTGCAGGAGGCAGCCAATCAACGTTTCTCTCATTGATGTTTCTCTCTCCCCCTCTCCTTTTGTCTCTTTCTCTAGAATGAATTTTATTTAAAAAAAAAAAAACACAAACATTTTTTAAAAAAAGAGTATATAGTCGATATTAAAGACTGA